AAGATACAAGAAGAGGATATAATATTAGTAGCCAGACCGTCTACGACTATGTGGTCTTATTTTTTCTACCATAGAATCCAGAATCATTTCGTTTGCAACATGTCCTATGGTGTAAGATAACAAACACCTGAGCAACAGAAAAATCAAAACAATCGAATTATAAACAATTGATAATCACATAATGATCAGTTGATGACACATTGTCGATCGATAACAGAAATCAAATCCATAATGGTGTTTTTGATTTCGACTTTCCAATTTAGACACATCTTATCGATAAGAAAATATCTATCTTGTGATTTTTCTTAAAAATATGATGCAAGTTAAAAATAAACTTATTATATAAATAAAATATTTTTATAAACTATTTTTAAAGGAATGTGCGTAATTGTAAAATTTCTATAAATTACTGATTTTTTTAACGATTGTAAATTTAAATAAAAAAAGCATTCAATTTCAACGTTTTAATAATAAGTAATATTTGTTTCTTTTTTTGTTAAAAAAACAAAAATACAATAAATATTTATATATTGTTTAATATATTGTTCACATGATTATATAATATCAAATCAAATAAGATTATAATTTTTTACATGCTTCGAGAATTTTTTCTAAATTATATTCTTCATCATTGTTATCATAAGCATTATTAACATCAAGATGAAATAGACATCTTTGCATCTTTTCGACGATGCTATCAGAATATTTTGGGTCAAATTCTTTTGTTTCTTCTCCTTTTTGTTTTTTTCTTTCTTGTCTTCTTGTAAAGGAGTCGCGTAGCAATTCATTTAGTTTTTGTTCAAAGGTTTTTTCTTTGATTCCCATGATTTCTATACATTGATCAATTTTTTTATGTTTTGATTTCATTCTTTCGTAGATGCTTTCATTTTCGTTTTCATTTTTATTAATGATTAACTTTTTATTCTGAAACTATTAAGAAAAAATTAATATCATTTTTTTAATACTCAATTATTATGATGGACTTACGTTTTTTCTTTTAAAGTTAGGAGGAAGTGAATCTTTAACTTCTTCACATGCTGTGACAAGTTTGTCCATTTTTTGATCCAGTTTATCGTTACTATTGAATTCAGTTTTTAATAAGGTTAGACATTTGTCTACTTGTTTTTCGATTTTTTGAATTTCCTGTAATAGAAATTGATTAATTTTTTATCTTATTATTATTATTATTTTTATAAATTATATTACTTGGTAAATTTTTTCGTCGTCTTTAATATGTTTCTTTATTTCATTTTCTAATTTTGCGATTTCATTCTTAAATTTGTTAATTTCATCATCATCAATTGAATTAATTGTTTCCATATCAAAGTTTGTCCAAGGAGTTGTTTGTCCTACAACACTACTTGTCATATAAACATAACCGCTTTCTAATCTAACATATGTTGTGGTGCATCGTACATTTTGATCAGAATAGACACCGGTTATCGTTTGTTTTCTCCCATTCCAGAAAATATAAGGACGTTGCATTTTTTTTTTTGAAAACAAATCAAAAACTTGTATTTTTATAATTTTGATTTATTTTGTTCAATTGTTTTCTTTTATTGGTTAAATTATGAAATTATGATTTGACATTTTTATGATTTTTAGTACGGTATTAATATATTTAGTCTTAATATAAATAAAAAAACTTTTAGAACTAATCTAAAAGAAAAAAAAATATACTATTTTGTTAATATCTAGGGGAAACTACTCTCATCAATTTGAAAGGAGTGAATAGTTTGTTCCAAACGATCGATGGTTTGTTGTAAGAGATCAGTTTCACGTTTATATGTTCGTTCTCTTTCTTCTCTTTCATGTTTATGGATTTTATCCTTTTCTTTCAATCTTTCATTGTATTCGTATTCATATTTTCTTCGTAGTTCTTCATTTTTCTCAATTACTAACATTAAATTTTTAATTTCATTTTTTTATCATTAATAATTTCTCGGTAAAGCCTGATTTCATTTTCATGGTTTTCTTTCATTTCTTGTTTTTGTTCTTCAAAAGTTTTTCGGTAAAAACTGATTTCATTAGCATGGACTTCATTTTTTTCTTGAAGTGTCACCATCAATTCGTTAATTTTTTCAATGAGTTGTTTTTTGGTATTGTTTCCCCCAGACATTCTATTAGTTTAAAACAGATTTAAAAAATATTAATTACAAGACTATTGAATATAATTAATTTAGAAAATATATTTACTCGTTAAAAAAATCGTTAATTCGTTGAGAGATCTCTGACAATTTCATTTCTTCTATTGTTTTTATGCAGATTTATTTATGTGAGATAAAGTAAAAAAATCGATGTTTTTATAGTTTATTGATCATACGATTTTTCTAAATAAGGAATATTCATACAAAACTTTTTTGATTTTATTGATAGAAGATTGATTCGGTTCATACAAAAATAATTAGATTAATTAATTTGGTAAATTCATAGATATGATAAGTGATTTACTAATTTGGTAAATTCACACAAATTATAATAAAATTCAAAAAAGTTTATGATTTAACATAATCTTAAATTTGTATTTTAAACTTCTTATCGGCTTCGATTGATAAAATTTGATAGGTTCATTTCAGGTTTAAATGCAATATTTATTTTTAAATTTTTAATTTCTTTTAAATCTGGTTGAATTATTAATTTAAAA